GATCCGGAAAACTTCATCGGTTTGTTGCTGTGTTTTTTATTTTTTTTTATTTTTACCTCCCTCAGTATTGTCACACCCAGCAGTCTTGCCATAATTTTCAGACTCTTCACAGCTCTTCGCTTGTGATTTTCTCCGATATTTATCTCAACATGTGGACCACCTTCCGGGAGGCCAAATTCAGAGTGCAGCCTACGGTCTCGTCGAATTTTGACAGGCCCCAGAATGTTTAATTGGATAGCATGTAGTTCTATTTCATATAAAAACCATCAAACATTTTCCCTTAACGTTTGAGTTTTGAAATCAATTAAACATAAAGGCGTCCTTTCACTCATTCTACAGGATAGATTATTCGGTGTCTTATACGACGTGGTGACAGGAGACAAGTTTGAGATCGCCATTTTGACCGTGATCATGTGTAACATGGCGATGATGACGATACAACACCATGGACAGTCGGAAGAGATCTCCAGCATGTTACATATCCTTTCTATAAAATAGATCTCATCATGTTAGTGTTGGAATGTTATTTTAATTATAAGATAAATTATATATTTAAATTTGTCATTTGGCAAGTGTATTACTTTGTGTAGTGCAAAACTACTTACCAAAACTACTTTACAATAAGGTCTTCTTCGACTTGTTTTTTAAGACTTTATTGCTCACTTTAGGAAGGCCTGCAGCGACGAGAATTGTTGTACGAGCGTTTATTCTACTGTTTTAATTAATTGTCATAATAACGATTTTTCAGCTACACTTCATGGTTTACATTTCGCATGTTTCGATACATTTCCTTGACTGATTTTCACGTCTGTCCAATTTTGTGTTCACTGGGATATTTGTTTTGGAAGCTATAGTCAAGATTATCACTCTGCGGCTGCATTACTTCAAGAAACCATGGAATGTGTTCGACTTCATCGTCGTCATCAGCTCTCTTGTGGGTATGCAACGCTTTTAATATATGCAAGAAGGCGCAGCCTTAGTTTTAACTGCACCGTGCTGACGAGGCCCAGAGAGGGTATGAATACGGTTTAAATGAAAACCGAGAAACGGCCAAAATTTTAACTGTCAGTTGAGAAACGAGGTTTTTTTTAAATAGTAAAATCTGTACCTGTTAGCTAATAACGTGACATTTTGGCTGAATGTGTTAATTGATAGCTTGCAATTAAGACAACATGGGAGTCGCGGTGGCCTAATGGTTAGCGCGTTGGACTCCGCATCAAGCGGTCCGGGCCCGGCCTGTCGTGTTCTTGGGCAAGACACTTTACTCTCACAATGCCTCTCTCCACCCAGGAGTATAAATGGGTACCAATGACAAAATAATGCTGGTGGTAACCTGCGATGAACTAGGATCCCATCCAGGGAGAGTAGCGTCATGCTAAGGAAACCGGCAGTGTGTGCCAGTTTGGCCAGTTTAATTGAGACAATTGATAACTGAGCACCCTATTCAAACTCAATTCAAACTCTCTTCTGACATACAGAAGTTACTTCGTTTTAGTACAAAACGGCATCTATCACGTGCACCGAGGCCGTAGAGTACAGAGTCCTTACCCAGTGGAACACATTTGCAAACACAATGGCATTGCAATAGAGTACTAAAGTTATGAGGTCACAACAATTAAATTTGCGACATTATGAAATTTGATCGGCTATTCAGAGGAAGCATGCCAAAAAACGTCCACTTGCCAAAAATTAGCTCTCCATTGCAATTTGCGGCCGAGATATGGGCACTTCAGGTTTTAATTTCTCCATACAAACCCTTCTAATTTGACGTCTGTTCCTTCAGTTTAGAACAGGCGCAAAATTAGAGAGGTTTGTATGGGACGGTACCAAACTTTTAACCTCTATATCTCGGCCACAAATTGCAATGGAGAGCTATTTTTTGGCAAGTGGACGTTTTTTGGCATGCTTCCTCTGAATAGCTGATCAAATTTCATAATTTTGCAAATTTGAAAATTTGTGACGTCACACTTTACCATTCTATTGCCGCCAATCACAACGAACATAATACCATATAGTTCCGTTGTGAATGCAGCATAAAAATCTTTATTTGATTTCCTTCAACAGATGTTGTACTGGACGAGTTCAGCACAAGCGACGGCGCCGTTAGCCCCAGTCTCCTCCGTGTTCTCAGAATCTTCAGGATTGCCAGGTTGCTAAGACTGGTGGAGTTTGCCAAGGGTATACGTCAGCTCTTGTGGGCTCTCATGATTTCGCTACCAGCCCTTTTTAATATCGGCACCCTACTCTTTATGGTGATATTCATCTACGCGATCATTGGCATGTCAGCGTTTGGTAACGTCAAACGAGATGGAGAGTTGAACGACATTGTCAACTTCGAAACATTTGCTACTTCGCTGTTGCTGCTGTTTCGTTTGGCAACGGGGTCGGGCTGGAACGATATCATGGATGCCTTGTTGCTTAAACCTCCCGAGTGTAATCCAAGCTTCATGGGACTTCCTCACGGCAACTGCGGCTCCTTCAGCGCCATTGTCTACCTGGCCAGTTACGTCATAATAGTGTTCCTGGTCATTGTTAACATGTACATTGCAATTATCCTCGAGAACGTGAACCGTGCGCACGAGATCGAAGACTTCTGCATCAGCAAGGAAAACTTCGACAGCTACTACACCACATGGGGTTTGTTCGTTCCCGATGGGAAGCCGTATCTTCCGTTAGATCGTTTGTCGGAGTTCGTGGCTAGTCTCGATAAACCGTTCAAAATACCTCAACCGAACTCAGGCGTTTTGAGGCAGCTAGACATTCCGGTACGGGCGGGAGAACTTATTCACTGCTTTGATCTGCTCAAACCGCTGGTGCGACGCGTTTTGGAAGAGCATGGTGAGTCCGCGGAAGTCTTCAAGGATATCACTGTCAGGATGGAGGCTAGCTTTAATAAGTCGTTCATAGTCCAGAAGAGAATTTCTTCGTTTAGTGGCTCTACGAAGACCAAACTTGCAGACTTGTCCGAAACTGTCACTTGAGCCTATTGTAGTTCAAAAAGAAAACATGTGGCTGACGAGATATGATTGCTCAACTGAAAGAGCGTATTTACCGGAGATAACACGGCAACTCCTTTGAAATTACAACGCCAGACTCAAGACTTAGCTAAGTCTCTTGAGGAAAGTGAGACTATTTTTACCCGTTGTTAGACCACTGACAGGAGTGTACAATGTTCTGTTTACAACGTGGACAGGAACAAAAACACATTTAAACTGGAGCAGCTCCGATGAAATGCAAAGTTACAGTGGCTCTTGACTCAATCGAGTCCAACCACTGCTAAGTTGCAACACCAGTGGCAACTTGACTGTAAAAACTTTTAAAGAAGCAATAATCTATTAGATAGCTTACTTCAGATTTTAACGCGTTTTGTACCTTTGCACATTCGAAAGGTAGCTTTTTAAAGTTATCTTTTCTTGCCAGAGAGGATGAATAACAATTGAATATATTTTTTATATATACGTATTTATGATATCACCAGCAATAAGAAAGATACCCCGCATATAAAACTCAGGGGAACATGTGGAGTGTATAATAATATGTTGATTATCAACTCAGAGTTGATAAAGTAAATTAACCGCCGTAGCGAATTTCTAAAAGCTGACGTTTCGAGCGTTAGCCGTTCGTCGGAGGTTTCGAGCATTAGCCCTTCGCCCTTTGCTCCAACGAAGGGCTAACGGTCGAAACGTCAGCTTTTAGAAATTCGCTACGGCGGTTAATTTACCTTTATCAACTCTGAGTTGATAATCAACATAGTGTTTCACTTGCCCGCCGACGCAGCACCACAGTTTCATTAGAAACTAATCACTTTGAGTGTATAATAAGTTTGTCTCTAAATTGTGAATATCAGTTGTTTTATTTGTGACAATATTTCCGCCCCGACATTGGTCATGGGGGTACGTTAGCCATATGGCATTAGATGAGAAATCGTTTTCATCCTAAATTTACTTATGGTAAAATACACGATATCGTTCACTATAAAGAGAGACGCACATTCAAGCGGATAAAATTCTCCTTTGTATGTAACGTTTTGAGGCAAGCATGTTCTTTCATCATGTGTTCCCTTTAGATGCTGTTAGAACCAAACAATACATCAGTCTCACTCCTGAAGCAGCATTACAGTATAGCGATATTTCTCGTTACGTCACCTATTGTTATTAATGTGCCAACCAGAGAACTATTGGCTGTTGAAACAAAGAGTTCTTTTGTTTAATGGTTGGCAAATTTGAATAACAAAACAAATTTGACGTAATGTTGATCAACAGTGAACACTCCTATAACTATAGTATAAGTAATTACTCTTAGGCTCGCCTCGTTTTCGGTCGTCACGCAACACAATATAGTTTAAGCATGGAAATTATAGTGGCTGACCGCTGACTATAATTAACTTGCTCTTATAACCACGTGAGGTATAACCGAAACATAAAGACTTGTGAGCACACATTTTAGTCTCAGTTGGCACACGACCCCACAAGTATTGTCACGCTTTAATTCTAATCGTGTAAAAAAAATAAAGGTTGTTACAGCAAGGCGCCTAAAAGTGTGACCACTTTTAATTAATTCACATTATTCCATGCGTGCAGACTACCCAATCAGAAGCCGAAGAATGGCTATCCTTGACTTCTGATTGGATAGCATAGGACACATGGGAGGGAAAAGCCAAGACGGCACATATATATATATATATGTAAATGAACACAAAGAGTGTCCATGAGCCACCATGCGGGAGGACCGGTATGGGTGGGAACTCTGCAGAGACTCTGCTCAGCGGATATTTAACTGTACTGTCAATATAAAATATTTTGATCACAAAAATGTTTTTAATTTACTTTATGTTTGTTCTTGCATAATAAAACGCTTAGCTGTTGTTTAACCAGCCCTTCTCAGTTTTCAGATTGCTATTGATTAAGGGATCCGACTGGTGGTTTTCACAACTGCAGAGAAAGAGCGGACAATCGTCAACTGCCGGTGTCAAGCTGATTAATTTGAACCAGAAGGAGAGAGCAAGGATGGTGCAGTGGTGAGCGCACTCTCCTCCTACCAATACGGCCCGTGTTCGAATCCCGGACCCGGCGTCATATGTGGGTTGAGTTTGTTGTTGGTCCTCATCCTTGCTCCGAGGGACTTTCACCATGCAGGTACTCCGGTTTTTCGAGTCCCTCCACAAAAACCAACATTTCTAAATTCCAATGCGATCTGGAAGCAATGGAGTTTGAAGTTGATAAATAAATTTAAAATTAACCGCCAATTGCCCGTCGTCAGGGCAAACTGACCTTCTCTCCCTGAGCGTCCTTGCTCAGTCGAAGGGCTAACGTTCGAAACAATTTCCCCACCGAGGCAGATTGTAATATGTGTTTATTATTTAAATGAACTTTAACCAGAAAATCGGTGATAAAACTGGAAAAGTCGACGTTTTATCTCGAACGGTTCTGGTTCTGTTCCTTGTATAGCATCACAGGATATAGCTCTTTCAGTGTGGTTTGACAGACCAGTCAAGAGTCGTTTGAGTATTAAGCTGTGTAAAACTGCTTCTTGTCTGTTGGCTGTAACTATGTCCAAACTTAATGTCTACAGGCTCCATACTTCTGAAGGAACACCACGTACGTCTGTGAGGTGGATTCGCCGCTCTGACTGCCTCCCTCGAACTGTTTCTAACGGCATTGGGGTGCGATTGAATGGGACGTATGGGCTCTGCTGTTCCCGCCAGCTGGTCTGTGGTCTCGTTGTACCAAATACCTGCATGGCCTGGGATGCATGTTGTTTAATAATTGGCTTCGATGATGCTAATGGTTTTTGCACAAAGCACTTTCACATGGCCACGTTTCAGTCTGGTTGCAAGGCTCAGTGAGCCAGTGCGTAAAACTACTCTGTCCTCTGGCGATACGAATTTTATCTTCAGGTGCTGATAGTATCTCTCACTCGTCGTTCGCTGAGCTCACTCATGAGAGAGATACTATTAGCACTCGAAGATAAAATTCAACGTATCCCCGCGCGGCCACGTAATATCCTCTATATGTCTACTAAATTTGAAAAATAGTGATCTTGGAATATTTGCACGACAAAGTTAACTACTGCATGTGTTTTGGGCAACGATCAACAGTCATTTCAAAATGATGAATTGCGCGCAGATTCAAAATGTTTAGGCCTCAAAATATTAAACTGCAGAACCGTCTGTATGCATGAAAAGTCCTCCTTCACCTGCCGAATAAGAATGAAGTCATCCAAAGAAAGCCTCGCGTATACCTTTCATGTCTCCATCCAAAGTAGAAAAAAGTTAACGTTTTGTCCTTGATGACACAGGTGCATGTGGTGCAAGTGATGAGCATAGATCTCTTAGGGAGAGCCGCCAAATGACGAAGACCACGTACTGTTTTGCATCAAGATTAACCACAAATAAGACCAAATTGCTTTCTTATTCAAACTTTCTTAGGCTTCTGCCCTTAGTCCAACCGTAAAATTCCGATATTAAGCCCCACTAACACTATCGTAAGCAACCAGCTCCCCTCAGTGACCGGCCGGCACCCTCGCAAAACCCCGTTTAAATTCTCAGTAAAACTGTAAATAAAATTTCCCGTAAGCGATCAGCTGGGCTTTTTCTTTAAGCTCTCGTGAGCGACCACGTGCACCCTAGCTGAGAGACTGATTGCAATCAGCCAACATTACATTAAAAAATATGCACTACTTCCAGTAAATTTAATATACAGATAGATTTTAACACCTGTTTAAATCAATAACAGCAATAAGAAGTCTAAATAGGTTTTTGAAGCTAGTGGGGTATCCATTTTGCAGACATTTTGCAAGCTTTCGTAGACGACCAACTTCTACCTTTTCAGTGACCAGCTCTGTTACGACCACTTTGTCCAAATACCCGAGGTGGTCGCTTACGAGAGCTTCAACTGTACTAAATTCGAGACAACACAACAACCAGGAAAAGTTCTCAGTAAATTTCCAGGTCAACTTTAATTTCAAGGGAATCACCTTAAAGGAGCTACGTCACGGATGGCATATCTCAAATCTTCTCTATCCTTAACCGCCCTTGTTCCTGTTTGTTTTATTATCACCTCTTTGGTGTTTTTCTACCTTAATTAGTAAACGATTATTTGGAGGCTTTGATTCAATTTGTAGGGGATTTTTCACTTCGCAAAAATGGCTTAAAATATCGTGACATAACTCCTTTAAGACATGAAATTGTTAAATAACACCTGTGTACAAATCTATAAGATCTATAAGTTATATAAAAACATCGCACTGATTACAATAAAATAGGGAACGTCGCCAAATCATTTATAGTCATTTATAGCTACAAGACCCGTCAAATGTAGTTGAAACTGATTTAGAAAAAGTACAACTTACAAACATAATAACGATTACACCACATTGTCGGAAACTGGAAATTTGTCATGTACCAGATCAGAGGCGGGGTGGGAAAACGTGGTGAAATTCGTAGCTTTTCAGCTAGTGAGACGAGTCTTGTAGCTCAAATTAGTACGCAAACTATCTAATTTTACACTTCAATATCCTACTAGGGGTGGCGGATGGTCCCCGAGTCTCGGAATCTCGGTGCTTAAAAAAAGCGTCTCGGAATCTCGGGCTCGCCAGAAATAGGACGGTCTCGAAGTCTAGAATTTTGAATCTCGCAAATGCAGCTTCTTTTATACTCTATTTTCTCGAAGTTTTGGATCACTGCGTCTCGGGCTCGGATTTTTAGAGCGCTAGGTCTCGGGCTCGGCTTTTTAAACCAGGGTCTCGGTGTCTCGGCAAGTCTCGATTTTACCATTCGCCACCCCTCCTACTGTTAGCCGCCTACCTAAAAGTATCGACGCCACTAAAATGGTCGTTTCTTTAACCAATGTTATATCCATGCATAAAATAACATATTTAACAATTATCCTGCGAAATCTCGCGTAATATCGCCTGATACTTACTATATTTTTATTCAACAAATTGTCAAAGAGCAGAGCTGAATCGCAAGATAAAAATATCGAAATGTTCTTAAAGGTCCCCTCAATCTCAGCAGCGCTTTCCAATATATCGGACGACTCTTCTTGAGTGCACTTCCAAATATGGCAAACTACATATACCGCGGGATATCTGCCATGTACGGATCACAAATTGCAAGGATTTCTTAACCATACATGTATATTGGCATCGTGACAATGAGTTGGATAATAAGTCTAAATAACACCAAACAACTATTGTGAAGTAACAAAGATCGTCGGGTTATCGTCGGAAATTTTGAAAGTGACCCATAAAAAGTACCAGAATTGTGCATGGGTGTGGCAAAAGTTCATTTTCACCCCAAAGGACTACGTGATACCAATTCTAAGACAAAACTAGTTCCTGTCAATTTTTCCGGTGTAATAACCTAAAAGGTACCGGGATAACTCTTACACACCATAAGCGGCACTAAACCATGCATTTTAACACCTGAAAGACTCGAAGATCAACTCCGTCGTCACTTTTATGTGGGAGTTGCCTCCCCCCCCCCCCCCCCCCCGCCCCCCAAAGTAAATTAGCATTCTTTACAGGGTTTCACAATTGTGTCTAATTCAGAAACCCATATGTTTACCTATACAAGAGTAAAACCTAAATAATTCATTCTACTGCAGTCAAACTCTCGAATAATATATTGGAAAAAGCGAAATACATAAATTCTAAAGAGTAATTGATATCTCTTTCAAGTCTACATATGTTCAAATAATGTTATGTGACTCTTATTGAATTTGGCAGCCACCATCAGCAGCGCTTGATTTCAGTTTCAGTCTCAATCTAATGTCAATCGCACGCTGACATGACTGAAGAGCGGAGGTAAAGTCGCCTTGTGCATGTTGTGTGGCCCCGAGTTCATGTTAACAATCAGCTGTGTTTGAGTGTTCTTCTCCAAACAGTTTTAGTCTGATGTCAAGCGCACGCTGTTTACACTGAAGAGCTGAGCTAAAGTCGCCAAGTGCATGTTGTGTGGCCCCGAGTTCATGGTAACTATCAGCTGTGTTTGAGTGTTCTTCTCCAAACAGTTTTAGTCTGATGTCAAGCGCACGCTGTTTACACTGAAGAGCTGAGCAAAAGTCACCATGTGCATGTTGAGTGATTCCGAGTGAATGGTAACTATCAGCTGTGCTTGAGTGTTCTTCTCCAAACAGTTTTAGTCTGATGTCAAGCGCATGTTGTTTACACTGAAGAGCTGAGCTAAAGTCGCCATGTGCATGTTGAAAGAGACCGAGTAAATGGTAACTATCAGCTGTGCTTGAGTGTTCTTCTCCAAACAGTTTCAGTCTGATGTCAAGTGCACGCTGTGCTGACTGAAGAGATGAGGTAAAGTCCCCTTGCGCATGTTGTGTGACCCCGAGATCATGGTAACTATCAGCTGTGGCTTGAGTGTTCTTCTCCAAACAGTTTCAGTCTGATGTCAAGCGCATGCTGTTTACACTGAAGAGCTGAGCTAAAGTCGCCATGTGCATGTTGAATGACTCCCGAGTGAATGGTAACTATTAGCTGTGCTTGAGTGTTCTTCTCCAAACAGTTTCAGTCTGATGTCAAGTGGCACGCTGTGCTGACTGAAGAGATGAGGTAAAGTCCCCTTGTGCATGTTGTGTGGCCCGAGTTCATGGTAACTACCAGCTGTGCTTGAGTGTTCTTCTCCAAACAGTTTCAGTCCTGATGTCAAGCGCACGCTGTTTACACTGAAGAGCTGAACTAAAGTCGCCATGTGCATGTTGAATGACTCCGATTGAATGGTAACTATTAGCTGTGCTTGAGTGTTTTCTTCTCCAAACAGTTTCAGTCTGATGTCAAGTGCACGCTGTGCTGACTGAAGAGCTGATGTAACGTCCCCTTGCGCATGTTGTGTGACCCGAGTTCATGGTAACTATCAGCTGTGCTTGAGTGTTCTTCTCCAAACAGTTTCAGTCTGATGTGAAGTACACGCTGTGCTGAACTGAAGAGCTGATGTAACGTCCCCTTGCGCATGTTGTGTGACCCCGAGTTCATGGTAACTATCAGCTGTGCTTGAGTGTTCTTCTCCAAACAGTTTCAGTCTGATGTCAAGCGCATGCTGTGCTGACTGAAGAGCTGAGCT